CGCAGAGCAACATTCGGGCGACGTGTGAGGGCCATAATTCGTGCCAAAGGTGACCAATTCGAATACATTTTTTGCTTTCATTTAATAAAGCTAAAAAAAGGTAAAAATTATGGCGTTTGACTTTGTTGCAGTTTTTCATCTCACCCTGTATGATCTTGAAGGCATTGAATTACAAAAGTGAATGAAATAAATAAATAAAATAGAACAGTGTTTGGCTTGCTTGTTTGGGATACCATAGTATTTTGTTGTTGCAAAATCGTCAGGCAAAATCCCATTATTGTTGTTTTTATAAAAACAACGTTTGTTTATGAGTGGAGAACGATGGTAATGTTTACCAGGGGGTAAGGCAGGGAATACCTAGGTTTCGGAAAGAGCCCCCAATCCTCATCAGTTCCCTTGTTTCTTGTCTGGGATATTCTCCCCAGAAGTTATTTTAAAAAATAACTTCTATGACAAAAAACATTTTTTACCCAAGTGACGAGATCGTAAGCTCAATAGAAGAGGAACAAAAGAATTACATAAAACTAAAATTCTTTTGGAAAATCTTCTAAATCTTACAACCGCACTTATAAACATTTTCATCTTTCTCCACTTGTTATGATTTCGTTCAGCCTGAACGAAGTAACATAACCATGTAAGTTTGTTGGGATGGGATTTTGCCTGACGATTTTGCAACAACAAAATACTATGGTATCCCAAACAAGCAAGCCAAACACTGTTCTATTAATAGACACAGGCACGGTCGACGTAGGGGTTTTTTTGTGAACAGACAAAACAAACTTACATGGTTATGTTACTTCGTTCAGGCTGAACGAAATCTTAACAAGTGGAGAAAGATGAAAATGTTTATAAGTGCGGTTGTAAGATTTAGAAGATTTTCCAAAAGAATTTTAGTTTTATGTAATTCTTTTGTTCCTCTTCTATTGAGCTTACGATCTCGTCACTTGGGTAAAAAATGTTTTTTGTCATAGAAGTTATTTTTTAAAATAACTTCTGGGGAGTATATCCCAGACAAGAAACAAGGGAACTGATGAGGATTGGGGGCTCTTTCCGAAACCTAGGTATTCCCTGCCTTACCCCCTGGTAAACATTACCATCGTTCTCCACTCATAAACAAACGTTGTTTTTATAAAAACAACAATAATGGGATTTTGCCTGACGATTTTGCAACAACAAAATACTATGGTATCCCAAACAAGCAAGCCAAACACTGTTCTATTAATAGACACAGGCACGGTCGACGTAGGGGTTTTTGTTGTAACAGACAAAACAAACTTACATGGTTATGTTACTTCGTTCAGGCTGAACGAAATCATAACAAGTGGAGAAAGATGAAAATGTTTATAAGTGCGGTTGTAAGATTTAGAAGATTTTCCAAAAGAATTTTAGTTTTATGTAATTCTTTTGTTCCTCTTCTATTGAGCTTACGATCTCGTCACTTGGGTAAAAAAATGTTTTTTGTCATAGAAGTTATTTTTTAAAATAACTTCTGGGGAGAATATCCCAGACAAGAAACAAGGGAACTGATGAGGATTGGTGGCTCTTTCCGAAACCTAGGTATTCCCTGCCTTACCCCCTGGTAAACATTACCATCGTTCTCCACTCATAAACAAACGTTGTTTTTATAAAAACAACAATAATGGGATTTTGCCTGACGATTTTGCAACAACAATAAATAAAATATTTAAAAAAACTGGCTTAATCGGTTCCCTGTGGTGAAGACTCTTTGCTTTTATCCCCATTTAAGAAAGAAAAACGACTCCACTTTCGATTGTATAAAATTATTTTAGCATTTATTTAAAATGTTATCTTATTTTTTATATATAAATATAAATACTTTTTTATTCATATAGTGCGTGTTTATCTTACAGAACTAAATATATATTGTTTCTTTTTCCTTTTTCATTTATTAAAATCGATAAAATATTCTCATCATATATATATCTAAAAGCTGCTACATATTGTTCTTATTAACATTAAAGAAATGAAAAATAATAATTAGCTAAAATACAATGTTAAATGCTTTGAGAAGATTAAGGTTACTTCATTTATTTTTAAATGCGTAGATTTATTTATAAAAAAATAAGCCTTTCTCTTATATAAAAAATAAAAACAAAAAAATAAAATGTTTATTATACATAAACTGTAGTATATAATTTTCCAGAAAACAATGCAATTATTGTCTTGCATTGGCGAGACGCAATTTGTCCATTTCATTATCTTATTGGTTTTAACTGCATTCAATAACCGGCCTATAAGTGTGAAAAGATTAGGCTATAATGCAATATATCATATACGTAAGATTAAATCAAAATGTCGTTTATTTGGCAACTTTCTCCAATATGAAGAATGTATGAATAGATATTTATCAAGTAAGCAAAGGCTACAGTCGGGCGGGACCGATCATGTGATATCCTACAACACTATAATTTACCGCCAAGTCCCTGTAGATTTCATAAAACTGGTTAAGTTTCTGAACATATTGGATGCATAATTTGACTATTTGGAAAATCATTCAAATGTCAACTTCGATTAGTACGATTTATGAAGAATGTCTTCATTTCCATTTGGAAAGTAGATTTCCTTATTAGGCCCTTTTTTCAAAAACCCTCATAGATCTGGAACCAATGGAAAAAATAAAAATTTCCACACAAAAGATATTATCCGACGAACATCTAAAGTAATGGCCTTCTGGCCAATTCTAAACTCTAACTCCATGCATCGATTGTGACCTGTATAGAGACTGCAATATTAGATTTCTTTCAATTTTTCTCCATTTTATCTCCTAAATATTTTGCGAACATTACAGGGCAAAAACTGCGTGCAAAATTTCGTGAAGATCAGACCAAAAGTGCGATCTGTAGAATGATTACACGTCAACATGGACAGACGAGCACAAAGGTGTAGCTCAGCGAGATGTGAAGATCGGTGGAAATATTGGTAATTTTCACACAAAAGTCTATCATTCTTTCATTTCTGTTTTTGTACCCGTCTCCTTATTATTTTGCGAACATCATAAGCTTCTATTCTGAACACCTTACAACATTTCGGTAGGATCAAACCATAACTACAAGCTGTAGAGTGATACAAATAAACACGGACAAACAAATAGGCACACGTAGCTAGAACGACCCAACTCAGTGAGATAGGAAGATCCATGTGTTACATGGTGGTTGTAGGACAAATACTTTGAAGTATTACTAACTTTTCAGTCAGCGAAATCCTAAACAAAAAATTTCCTGCAAGAAAAACTCAATATTCTCTATGTACTATGTTCGCTGAACTTGACGGTTTCTTTCAAGCAATGAATGCGAAAATATGCTTTCGAGTGTACAGATCGAGGGACACTTAATTCTGACCACACTTTACCCCAAGATAACCACGATGAATGTAGAAACAATGCCCTCAGTGAGGGTTTTGGACAGGGAGAACTTGTTGATCTTGTATAAAGCGATAGGTTAGTTTGTGTCTATCTCAGCGGTTCTAGTGTGGTCTCGGAGTACTTGTTCATTCCGGCAGAATGCCGAACTACAAAGGGTGTCTCCTCATGACAACAGTGGATCATTTACATGCAAAGGTGCTTCCCTTACGTCAGCTTAACCTTTTTTTCTGGCTGACTGTTACTGTAAGAGTCATCTACGTAGTCACCGATGTAATCAACCAATACCGTGGTGCCTCTTCATGACACCTGTCGACCAAGTACATAAGGAGGCGAAGGTCTTACCGGTGCAACATCTTAATAAAATGCTGTTAATGCTATACCTGTTTGGGTGTTACAGACAGAGACATCCGAATCACAATCTGGTGGATAGGCAACCTCTGACCAGCCACGTAAGGAAAGAGGAGTCAGAACGAATACAGCAATATGACTTTCCTTCTACATCCATTGCTCTTTATTGAGAGCAAATTAACGAGAATGTGCGGAACGAACATTCGCCCAGCATATGACACAGGTCTGCATTTTCTTCGGTTCACAAAACTCTCACATCTTATAAATGTTAAATCTATATTGATTTTAGAAAAGGTTCTGAGTGTATAAACATTTTTATATTTTCTGCTGATTGAGGTTCACCTTAGGGGTTAGATTCACCACAAATGGTTCAAAGGGACAGGATGCAATAATTTCAAAGCAATTGCTTCTAATCGAATATATCGTTGATGTACGCGCTTGAATACAAGACATCTTGAACGATTTAGTAGGGGCTGTTTAGAACTTTGTTTTGGAGCTGAATAGATTAGCATTTGAACGCAACTTAATTAGGCCGATTGTACGATTACCCCTTGATTATCTTTTAAAAAATATAAAAATTGAAGAACATACAAGGACTGAGAGTTTTTCTCCGAGTTTTCTTTTGAATTGTCATACAGAAATAGGCCATTAAGATTGCATTTTTTTTTCAATTTTCCGCTCCCTTTATGAAACAGATTAGGATGATATATCAAAATAAACCGGTTTCATCTATCAACATTTTAAGGTAGACCGTGAACTTTATGATTGATTCCAATGCTTTAAATTCGTATTCATTTGGGGGGTTTTAACGCTGAAATCTGGGTAAATTTAATTTAATATAACTCATCTCAACTCTTCTCAATGATATAACTTCTTCTCTTTAACTAAGAAGTTAGAGCAAAAGAATGTCAAGTTGTAATGTCAACTGTCAATATTAAGATATAAAAAAACTAATATCGGATAAAGAGGGCAACGAAATACTACTTTTAAAAACAATTGGCAATGATTCTTTGCAAAAGCGGTCAGCACACCTTCTTTGACCAGCACTTTTCAAATTTAGATTGTGAGCATTTCAAAACGTTTTCTTATTCTAAATGTTTGTTACATTGGTGTTAGCGATTATAAAAACATCTTACTTATTTTGTAATATTTTTTCTCTTTTTGTTGTTTATAATTTACATATGCATGTATTTTATTTAATACATTCACATATAAAATTTATTTATACAGTCTCCAGCGTTGTTATTTGTCTTATATTAACAAAACAATATTTGTTGAGTATTATGTATATTGATAGGTAAATTTGTTTAGATGGTTTTATTTAGAGTTGATAATAGTTTAGTTGAAGTTGAATTGATCTTAATTGTTCTATATGTAGTATTAAGGTAATTGGCGAATTATCATAAGGAGAAAAATTGATTTGTTTTTCTTACTTTAGAAAATAAAAGTAACACTGTATGTTGTAAATATGTGAGCTATATATAATATACGTAATATAAATTTCATTCATTTAGGAATTGGTTTTAAATTATTTTTTTATTGTGTTGTCAAAGGAATCTTGTGTTTTATATTTATTTTTGTGAGTAATCTACAACCAGACTATAGTTTGTTTGTCATATAAATGCTTTTGGTAGTGGATATATATATATGCATAAAAAATGCAATTTGAAGATTGTGTTTTGAAAATTAAAAACCAAATTACAATGATTTTTATTGCTCTAAAATTGGCCACAAATACAGGGTGAGATGAAAAAACTGCAACCAACTTCTGACTGCTGTCACTACAAAACCACTCGTCCAACAGCTGTTAAAATTATTCCAGTGACAGCTCATTCTCATTCTGGTGAGAATTTTCCAGAAAAAAAGTTACTCGTAATGGATTTCAAGCGTGATAGTGTGACTTCTTCATATTTGTGGCTATCGTTAGAGCACTCCAACATTTAAATGTGAATAAATCTTTTGTGTCTCGTACCATCGCTCGTTACCGTGATACTGGTAGCGTAGCCCGACGTCAAGGAAGTGAGCGAAAGAAAACAGCAACATTAGCAGAAATGATTCGAAAAATAAAGAAGCGACTTGATCGAAACTCTCGTCGAAGATGCCGAACAACGGCTCGTAAGCTGGACATATCGCAATATTCCATTTGGCAAATATTGAAAAATGAGCTCGGGGTAAAGCCATTGAAATTCCAAAAAGGGCAATAAAGAAAATAGACTCAAAAGAGCTAAAGAGTTGCTTCGCTTGGCCGAATGTGGTGAACTGCCGAATTTGGTTTTCTCCGATGAGAAAACATTCTTTGTCCACCAACTTGTAAACAAAAAAAGACCGTGTTTACTTGGCAAAGAGGTCAACTGAAAATAAGCACCTTCGGTTGGCCATCAGAACTCAAGTGCCGGCCATGGTGATGGTGTCGGCCGCCATAACAGCCGATGGTCGTTCTCCGCTCGTATTAATAGACCGTGGCATCAGAATAAATGCCGAATATTATCGGGAGATATTCTGGAGGGTGTATTAAAGCCTTGGGCACGCAAAAATGTTGGCCGCAGACCTTGAACACTCCAACAGGACTCAGCACACGCCACCCAAGAATGGTTACAAGATGAGGTTCCTCGCTTTATTTCCAGTGCACAATGGCCACCAAAATCTCATCATTCCAATCCGTTTAACTATTGGGTCTGGGGTATTTCGGAAAGCAAAGTTGGCACTAAAAAATACCAAAATACCGCAGAGCAACATTCGGGCAGCGTGTGACGGTTTCATTGGCCATAATTCGTGCCAAAGATGCTAAATATGATGCTATTTCCGACATTCAATAAAATTTAAAAAAAAAGTAAAAATTGTGGCATTTGACATTGTTGCAGTTTTTTTATCTCACCCCGTGTATACCTAACTAAAATAATTTGTGAGACAATTTTGCGGGTTTTTTATGCAGGAAAAATACTTTTTCTTCAATTAGAAAATCTATAGACTTGAGATGTTACATAAAACGAAAATGGAATATTTCTAACGCTACTTATAATTATAAAGAAATGCATAGCTCGTTTAAAACATTGGCAAATTATTTGATTGGTTGTTTTTTTATTCTAAAATAGGTTAGGTTTTGTATAGAAATAAAATTTAGCAGGCAAGGTGTATTCTACAAAAAGATAAAAATATATAATATTTATGTGAAAAAGGACCAGCCATCTTACTTATGTTTTCAAATAAAGAAATAATACTATTTGGAGGGAATTATAAAAAGAGTATATAGCAAGTTTGGGGCTTATTTGTTTGTTTTCCTTGCAGAAATGAGTATTTTTCTAGAGATTCTTTTTTGTTCAAGTTTTGATATGTGATATTTAAGGAATAAATGAGATTATTTTCATTAATGAAAAGTGATTATGTTAAGTGTTTCTTCTCTTCTTTTTTTAATACACTGGGATTTTGTTATATTGAGCGTATAACTTGAAACTATATGTTTATAGTACTTATATTTAAAAAAAATATAATGCCATTTAAATACATACTTTAGTATAAATTACCAACATAATCAGTCAGGGTATGTGTGTTTCTAGACGAAAACATGCAAATAGGATGACTGAGTAACATTACTGTGCGTTGGTGTCAAGGTGGGCGTCTGTGACTGTTGTCATACCGATGTTTCGGAATTGAGTTTCAATACAAATTTATTGCTCTTAGGATCGACTACCTCTTCGGCAATATTGAAATGTGGCAATTTGTGTATGGATACCATTAGAGAGACATCATTCTGTATTAATTGAAATGTTACATCGCCCGCAACGGGCCGTGAAACTAGTTCATCGCATATCAGAGACCAGGATTGTACCCAACGCCGCTCCTTTTCACTTTGCATAACAGGTGCCTCGGTGAGATATGGTTCGAGAAAAGCTCTTGGCGATAGATCATGTTTTAGACAATGGGCCAAGTGCTTTAATATACTTTCAAACGTATGACGCGGCTGCTGTCGTGTTACTCTCAAGTATTTCTGTAATGCCCGGGCCATTGAGGGAAACACGGCTTGAGCCGCTTCATGGGGATCCAGCGGTACAGCAGGTGCCGGTTCGTTATGAATACGTTTGACATGTGTAAAAGCCTCCTCGGCTGCCGTTATCAGACGTGCCCTACGCTTTTTAACCCTTCGTTCATATTCATGCTCCTCATAGAAGCGTTCATTGTGCGAAGAATCGCGGCGTCGTGCATTTGCCGCCAAAACAGCACGACTCTGACTTTGTTGCTGTGAATTATTTACACCATCCACCTCATAATATTTAAAACTTGTTGTAATTTTATTTCTTTGTGATTTTGAGATGGGTATACGTTCCAAATATGGATTGTAGATGGGAAAGTCGACATAGTAACGTTGGAGTACCCAAACTGCGGCACGCTGTATACTCAATTGGCCCAAAGTGTAGGAACGTGACACGCCATCGGGAGATCGTATTATTTTCACATAATACATGGGTTGATTGTGACGCAGTTCCAGCAACACCACCGCAATATAGTGAATAAACAGTAATGTGTCAACCAGGTTTGTGGCATAGGCAACCAGTGATTTATAGTCCACCGCATCTCCTCCAGTTTCTACAACAATTTTTGCTCCATTGGTTACCTGGAAGAGAAGCGATATGTTATTATTAAAAATAAGTAAACAGGTTGTTTTTAATGCAAAAAGAAAATAAAACTAGTAAGAAAAGGTCAAAATCGGGTGGGTCGTCTATATGATAATGTACAACCATATGCGTATATAGTAGGTCTCCCGTAACAAAAAATTATGAACCTTATTTGAATGCGTACCAAAATTCAACTGATTTTGACTGATATTGGCCATTTGGTGCACAATTAACCTGAAATCGGTAGAAGATATATATGGGAGCTATATCTAAATTTCAACCGATTCTCAACAATTTCAATAGGGTTCACCCTTGGGCCAAACAAATATGGTTTGGAGAATTTTATCTAGATCGGACAATAAATACGAACTGCATTTTGTTTACAAAAATACATCAACAGACGGACGGGCATGGATAAATCGAATCAGAAAACGATTCTATGAAGATCCCCAAAAGTAACTATGGATCTACAAACATGTTACAAACAAATGCGCAAAGACTTAATACCCTTACCACTATGTGGTGTAGGACATAAATATATCTCTATAAGATCCTAAATACACTGCAGTATTACCCGATACACTCCATTCCCCTAGTACAAATAAATGACATCATAACCAATTTTAAATTACATTTTCGATATATTTCATCAAAATATACTAAAGTGACCATTTTACAGCAGTAAACCAAGGCTAAGTTCCTTCAACATTTCTGGCAAAATGCTTCAAAAGTTATAAAATTGGGTTAATTTTAAAAAGTTATTCCATAAAGCTCGAATCTTGGACGATGTTGTTTCCCTCAGCGTTCCGGCATGCCATCAACTATCCGACTACATATGAAAAGCGCTGTGTCCATAGCAAGTTTCTGTCTTGGAATATGGAGTTATTGTAAATCCAAACTCAGAATCACTGTTTAAGCCATATCAGCCGTTGGTCTGAACTAGAAAACATGGGAATTGGGTTATGAAGAAATGGTCATTACGGTAATCAATGCTACAACTGGGAAGACTGATTACTACCTCTGCGAAATCCACCGACGAAAAGCTATCGTATCTCACCAGAGAGAACACAGTGCTCATAGGTTATGGGAGGAAGGAAAGCTTCATATATTTGTAGCAAAAACGGTTGGATATAAGAACAAACAATTGGCGGAGAACTCAAGAAAAAGGGCACGGTAAAAATTTTATTCACTGTCTGATGAAGAGTAATTTTACCTTTCTGTATCACATTTCAAATATCGGTTAAAGCCATCTATTTTTGATTATAGATTTGTTGAACCGTGATCGGCTTAACTCTAGTTTAGTAAAAACTCTTCGATTTTTTCGACATTTTTTCCAGAGGTATGTATTTTTACCCTGTTCCCGGGAAACTATTTTTTCTTGGTGGACGGACCCGGTACCCCAGACCCGAAAGTCCGGGTTCAAGACCTCGACTAGACCCGGATCCAGTTAGGAAATCGTTGGTAGGTATCGTTGGAAAGCTTATGAAAATACCTACCAGCGGTTCGGAAGTTATAGTCAAATTATCGATTTTTTGGACCCGGATTTTTTATAAAACCCCCAAAAAGTCGAATAGGGGCCCATTTGTGCTAATACCTTTTCGTGTCGAGTACCGTCTCCCATGAAAAACATAGTTTCCCGGAATCAGGGTACAAAAAACTACCTCTGAAAAAAATTTGTCTTGAAAAATGGAAAGCTTGATATTTAAAGATAACACTTAAATACTTATGGTGGGCATAAAAATAATTCGCGAATGAGACACAATATCTGCATTAAAATTTCCATGGAAGGGGGCATAATGCCCTAGCATCTAACAACAAGATAGGTACATAAAATAATTCCTTAAAGGCATACTTCCACTGTCTTTGAACGATTTACTTTCAGCGCACCACTTGCAATTCTTACAAAATACCAATACTAATTACAGCCATAGTTTCCATAACAAACATACATACCTGTACAATATAAAACAGCCAATATGCAAATGTACTCAACGTTACCAAGAGCAACACAACAGCTCTATACAGGAAAATGCGAGGCATGGTGGCCGCTGATCTTCGCATGAAAAGCGCCCACAAACCAATTGCCAGCAATAACAAACGCACCGATATCGATATCAGAAGACCCTTGCATTCACTGCCACAGGCCAATAATTGTGTTCGCACTGTCTGCGTCAGTTCGGGATGATCGAAAGCCGAAGGAAAAAATCCCATATGAGGCATTACCACCATGGCCACTGGAGAGAAAAAGGCACCGAAACCAAGTAGAAATGAAAATATTGACTCCAAATACCGGCGACATTTGAAACCAAATCCTGTTTCATTCATTTCGCGGTGCCAGGCATTGTTTATGTCCTCCATTGATATGCTTTGCTCGGATGTGTTTCCCGTAACAGCTGTTGTGTTCTCACCCCAGTTATCATCCTGGGGCAGTATTTGTACCTCAATAATTTCCTGGCCATCACGTCCCTCCTCGCCGGTCATATTTACAGTCGTCTGATAAGGATTTAAGTCGCTGCTCCTGTTACTTTTGGACTTTGAATGTGAGTTGCTGCGATGTGAATGCCTTGTACGGTCACGATGGTAGCCATTATTTACAGATCCTCCACCATTACCGCCATTATTGTTGTGACTTCGGGAGCGTCTGGAGCGACCACTTTGTTCAGATTTAACTGATTCGTTTTCCATGCTGAAATGGGGCATTAATTGCCCCTTGTTTTATCAACTCCTTTCAACTGCTTCAGATACCAAACACGCCCACCTTGGCACCTGTTACAATTTCTACCACCTTCCCACAATTCCTCTCACTCCACTCCACTATTTTTCACTTGTCGTTTCAAGAAAGGGTAAAAAACGAATGGTTTCTTTTAAATGAAGAAAATTCTTTCACATACACAAACACATTCACATATCTAGCCAACCGAACCCGACAGGTAACACAATGCTTAAGAAACAAAAGAATGAATGACTTTCCGTCTACTTGACTTCACTTGGCCGTAACGTTGTTTTTGTCTTCGTTCCTGTTGTTGCATTTACTTGAGGCCTTTCTCGTTTTCTTGCCTTGATAGACAAACAAAAGAGGAAAGTCTATGAAAGGGGGTGAGGGGTGCGGTCGTTGTATAGATGTTTTTCTTGTTACATTATTCACATTTGTCTATGTACATTTCTACACGTTTTACACATAATTTGTTAAATTTTTATTGATTTTCTACGCAACGAATCATTTTATTTATGTTTTTCATTTTATTTTACAATAAAAATGTGGCGAAAAATCGCAAACTATTTGTATTGCTCTGCTTCTAATAGGGATAGGTAAACGATTAATCGACTTTAGTACTCAAAGTTCTTAAAGTCGTAGTCGACTATGGACTGTGATGAAAACCGATTAATCGACTATTCAACAGAATGAAGAAAAAACCGTCAAGTTCAAAAATGTACTCTTTTTTATTGTAAACCATGGTAGAAGAATATAGGTAGACGCGTCGACACAGCCGCTGGGACAATGAACTGTCAAACCAATTTTAGAATTGAAAATGTTGAATGGAAAACTATTTAAATTTGTAAAAAAATTTGAAAAACGCAAATTACAATAGCGTCCGACTAACGTAGTATAAGAAAACATATAAAAATCTACTTATATTTGAAAAAAAAAATTTAAATTTTTTTGACATATCAATGCTCCCAAGCGTTGATGCATCTACCTGTATTCTTCTGCCATGTTGTAAACGTTACGTAATAAAATAAAAATCAATCTAGTTTTTAATTTCGAATTATCGAAAATAAACTAATGAAAACATAAAAAACCTCGACTATTTTTTTATTTTAGGTGTTGATTGTGTTTCATGGTAAAATAAAGAAGGTAAAGTCATTTCAAATAAGTATATCCATCTCTGCATTTTCTGTAATTTACCTTGTCATTTCTTATTTTCTCAGAACAAAAAAGAGGTTCACATCTCTTGCTCCGTCCAGAACTACACGAATGTACAACTTTTTACTACGATAAACGATTTTTTCCTATATGCTATCGAAAAAAATGAAAAATTAGTAGATTCTTGCAGGATCTGGAAGAGAACATCTGTTTTTTGTATATACGACGGATTTATAAATATACATTTTGACAATGAGATGTCAAAAGAATAATTTATGTATATATATATATATATATATATATATATATATATATATATATATATATATATATATATATATATATATATATATATATATATATATATATATATATATATATATATATACAAAAACATTTGCATTTCCAATAAACGTTTGACCAAAAAAGGGGAAAATAGTTTCAACTGAATTTGAATGTTTGATAAAAATGTTAATATAGTGTCTGTTCCAGAACTGCACGAATGTAAATGTATTTACTACGATAACCGATTTTCCCTTTATGATATCGAAGAAAATTGCAAAACTCGTACATTCTTGCAGGTTCTGAAATGAATACACACATAAACACAACAGCATACTACCCTACTATGATTTTTTTGTACCGTGATTTATATGCATACTTATACGCGTACATATAAACATACAAAAATGCAAAAAAAAAGTTGCTCTGGTAAGACATTTATTTCACAACAGCTGGTCTTTTCTTTCCCTTCTCCAAAATAAATTATACCCGAAACTCCATTATTTCATGTCTCTCTTTCACTCTCTCTCTATTTCTCTCGGTCAAATAAACGTATGTTTCCTTACAGTTCGATCAAAGAATTTCGTGGCGAAAATATGTTTCACGAATATGAACATATGTCAAACATTTTTCCCATAGCGCTATTTGAAACTGTGTGGTGACTGTTTGAACAAACAAAAACTGTCAAATATTTGACTGTTTAATTGAACATCGAATCAACTCTGTATGAATTTCACATTTGTTCATTCAAGTATGGGAAAATCAATTTCGATCAAATATTTGCCCAGTGTGACCATACCTTAACTCATGGTACAATGAAGAGAAGGTAGGTCAACTTTGAAAAAATTGCAAGTATAGAGGTCTACCTGTTTGGCTTGTAATGTCAGAATTAGTATCTAAACAATAAAAAATCAAACAACTTGTTGCATTTATTTTGAATAAATGATTGAAAAACGCGATAACTGAATGAAAGGTCAAAACTTCTTTTCAAAATCATGTACTACATATCTCTAAAGGATTATTTCGCTACAAAAACTCTAGATTTTGTAGATGCATACGTTGAAATAAACATTTTGAAAACACCCGAATTTGAATATTTTCTGAACAATTTTTTGTTATTGAAAAGAAAACACATACATAAACAAATAAAGATGACATATTAAGCCAAGAAAATAAAAAAATTGAAATCATTTGGTAGTTCTGCCCTACCTTGAATTCATTGTACCATGCCTTAACTCTGTTTTTCAACCATGAACGTTCGTTTGCCTATTTTATTATTCCTAACGAAAATCTGTGTGTAAACGGGCTATAATTCATTTAGAGTGATTGCACACCACCTCGTGTTCGACATTATCACTATTTTCTCAATGTATTAATGAACACAGCTCAAAAGTTTAAATAAACACAGCCAGGCAAAAAGCAAATTGAGCCTGGATGAGCTGGAGCTGGTTCCGTGCTCTTTTGGTGAATGTGTTCAAACCACTTTGTCGGCCGTTTTGTTTTGATTCCATTCGTGTTGTCGGCCTTTCCCTTCTGATTCCCTCTTTATTATCGATTTTCACTCTGTGCTGTCTTTCTTTCAGTGTTGCCACATCTGATAGTAACTAGTTCCGCGCCCCTTCGGTGAATGTGTTCAAACCACTTATGTTGTCGGCCGTTTTGTTTTGATTCCATTATTCCATTCGTGTTGTCCGCCTTTCCCTTTTGATTCCCATCTTTATTATCGATTTTCTTTCAGTGCTGTCTTTCTTTTCAGTGCTGCCAAGTATCCTTTGTTCGTTACTTCACTCTCCCGGTGGCGTCGGTGGTGGTAATTTATTAATTAATTCTTAATTATTTAATTATTTATCGTATTTCGTATAAAAATTTATATATAAATATCATAAATATTTAGAAAAAAATAGAACAAATGTGTATATGTGTGAATTGAGATTGTGCGTGATTTAAAAAAAAATAAACAAACCCGACCGCCAACATAACCCCCAATACGTGGGGGTTATCCATGGATAGAAAAACCATATATGTGTCTCCAGCAAGTCGAGGATATTTTTTCCAGCTCTATTTATTTGTACCCTGATTCCAGGAAAGTATTTTTTCTTGGGGGACATATCACATATCACGAATTTGCCGATTTTGGGTGCAGTAGAATGAATTCGGAAGTATTGGCAATACGCGATGTCGATTTGGAAGATGGCGAGGTAAGACAGTGGGTGAAAAATGTTTAAGAGTAATTAAAAAGATAGGAAATGTATTTGTTAATGGTTCAATGTATTTTTTGTTTAAATCACACGCAGCTTTCGGATAGCTCGGATGAAGTATATATACCACTTCAACGCCCAGTATTGACCAAAACAGCTCCAACAACACCTACTCCCGCCTCCAATAACTATGCGACTAATTTGAACAAAATGGATGATGACTGTCAGGGAGGTGATAATTTTAGTAAAGCAACAAACGATGAAGAATGTCAAAGCGATAGCTCAAGTTCATCATCCTCAGATGATTCTTCAGACAATTGCTTGACAAAGGTGAAAAAAGAAAAGAAGAGTCGCCCAAAAAAGCACATAAAACGCACCGTAATGGTACGAATTAATGCCACGGCTGAAGACGGCACGGAACAAAAGAGATCGCGATTTAAGAAGTATGACATTTGGACAGCTGCTTTACAGGAAGATGCCTTAACAGAAAACATGCGGGGTTGCGACGTGACCCAGAATGGTTTTGGTGATCGCAATGTTGAAAGTTATGACTTCTCACTGCACTACCGTCTTTACGGAGGTAACAGCCTTAAACGTCGCCTTTCCGGAGATGAAGACACGACGGACAATGAGCAACAACAACCACAAAATAAACGTCAACGGCCATCGAGTCGTGGCGAATGTAATAGTCGATCATCTTCAAAACAATCTGTACACCAACGATTAGGTAAAAAAAGAAACGTTCGAGACAGCCGATATTCTTCAACGAATAGCTCTGATTCGTCTTATGAACCACGCCTCATTGAAGATCTTGAAGAGATAGAGGATCGTAGCGCAGTAGAAGTGGCCCGTGAAATGGCCAAAAAATTGCACGAAGGAAAGGATGACTTAATAGGTAGGAAAGCAAAGATATTTGAAGTTAATGTAATTACCATTTTTTATGTTCCCATATTTTAGTTAGGATTGTGGAAGTATTAGGTCTTGAATTGCCCTTAAAAATATTTAAGGAAACTCAGCGCATTGAAGCCGATGGCGGAATGACCATAAAGGTATTTATTCATATTTCATCTTAGTAGACATTTTTAAATTATTTGTCTCTTTCCAGAATGGCCAGAGGCGTCGCACGCCAGGCGGTGTATTTCTATTTCTAATCAAACACAATGAAACCTTAAGTGCCGATGATCAAAAAGCCATCTTCTCAGAAGATCGAACAAATGCCAATAAAAAACACAAAGACATGAAATCATTAATGCGTGAGCGTAAAGTGGAAGAGTTGAAAAAACGCCTCAGTGAACAAGGGGCAGAATTGAATGCACCATTGTGCACACGCAAAGATCTAATATTAATGGGCGATGAAGCTCTGAAAGAACAACAAAAAGGCAATCGTAAGTAGTAATTTTTATGAGAAAATGAATCGGGGTTTTATAGTCTTATTTTCCTTTATAACAGTGTCTAATCCCCCACCATCTCCAGAAGCAGCGGAACAAAGTCCCGAATATAAATCCCTACCCATAAATGTGGTAAGCAATGAAAATGTGGAGCCAACGGAAAAACCGTCGACTTCTCGCGGTGGTGCTGCTGCATCTGTTGAAGAATTTAAAACCTATGAAGATGATTTTCTGGACGTACATTGTGGAGACATGGATTTCTTTTGAAAAAAAAAAAAAAAAAACATTACCTATGTGTACTTAGATAATTTTCTATATATATTGTATAGCTATATAAATGTTTATTTTCAATAGTAGATATCACATGAGGTGAAACGTGTAAAAATAAAAAAGAAGCATAACAAACAATTTGTTAACACAAATTCAGCCAGAGTTTTAATATAATATTAACTATTGAAACTATGGAATAAAATATGTAACATCTGAAGATTTTGGTTTCGTTGCATGTATTTGAAACAAGTGAAATGGTATCAGTTGGTTTTTGCTGACAAATGTATAACCCCAGCCTTGAGTTATGATTATTCACAGTGTTGACCCTTTATGGGGTAGGTTCCGAAGCAGTTTGGCAATATTGACCAATTCGTATCTGACCTAAGACTAATAAATATATTACAACAATATTTGTACTATATCGACTACTTTTCTGTATTTTATATGAGATATGTGCAAATTTTTGGAAAACGTGGAAATATATATTTCATACTTCATCTAATATAGATAAAAAATAGGTATTGGCAAAATTACAAGAAAATCGAACATTAATATCCAGTTATATGCGAAATGTCATATTCATATCTGCTTAAGAGAAATATTTATATACAACAAGTTGTATTAAAAATTGTGACCCTTTGTCCTTTGTGGGTGAGGTACCGGAAGGGGTTGACAGATTTATGTCATCTTCACGCGTTAGCAAAAATATTTGGATGTGCGAAATTTAAAGAGAGTGGGATACTTATTTCGCTTTTTTGAGCGTTTTATTTTTCAAAGCTCTGAAAAACTATGTGGGTGATGTACCATAAGAAATGGGAGGTATTATAAGGAGTGGACCGATATATCCCATTTTCACACCTTACCTTAGGTAAATAAAAATGTTGTGATATGTGTAATTTAAAGAGAACGGGATACTTATTTCGGGTTTTATGGTCGTTTTGGTTTGTCCCTTTGTGGGGCAGGTACCTAGGAATGGTCCGATCTCCAGCATCATTAAAACAGATCTTGTGTTGATAGAAATATTGAGATGTACCAAGTCTGAATGGAATCGGATGTTAATTTCGTGTTATATGAGCTTCATGACTACTCCATATTTTGACCATTTGTGGTGGAAGGTACCAGAAAGAGTGGACCGATATATCCCATTTTCACAAAAGACCTTGGGATAATAAAAATATTTTGATGAAAATATCACATTTTATAAGAGTTATAATTATTCAAAATTTTGAACCTTTGAGGGGGAGGTACCAGAAGAAGTGGACCGATATTGCCCTCTCTGAACTCGATCTAGGTTTGGCAATAATTTTACGATGTACCAAGTTTGGATCAAATCGGATACTCCCAGTCAGCCAGGCAGACAGACGGACGGATATCGCTAGATCGACTCCTAATGTCCTGAACGGATTTGGTTCAAAGAGATCTGGGGTCTAAAACCGTTATTTCGGTAAGGCACGTTTTGGCCATATCAAATGATATATACCCTATCTTGCCAAATGGCTGAGGGTATATACAATTTTTTATATGAACAAGTAAAATAGCACTTAAATCGGCCGGGCAGAAATTTAAATAAAGACGATGACCTGCATATGTAATTTTTTCATAGGTTGTAGTACCTATTAAGATCTTAAAGTACGAAATTTGAAACAATTCTGGGGAAGAATGTCACTAATATCATTAAAATGCCGAATAAATCTTCAACTACGAAATTTTAAACCATTGCGGTAAAGAATGTCGCTAAAGTCATCACAATACCGTTACATGGGGGCTATACGAAGATGTGGATCTGCATGTGCAATTTTATGTTATAGGTTTTAGTACCCATTAAGATCTTCAAGTACGGAATTTGAAACAATTCCGGGGAAGAATGTCGCTAATATCATCAAAATACCAAATTAAGGGAGGCACTGGACTATACGAAACGTCTACCCGCATAGACAATTTTCTGCCGTAAGGTGTAGTAACCATTATGAACTTCACATACGAAATTTAAAAACTATTCCGGTGAATAATGTCGGTAAAATCATCAAAATTCTGAATTATGCGAGGTACCGTTATATAGGGGCTATACGAAAACGATGGCCCTGCCTACTGACAAAATACACACTTGTGCAAAATTTTATTTATCTATCACATTTCGTTCGAAAGATAATTACAATAGGCAAAAAGACGGGCATTGCTAACTCGACTTAGAATTTTACGCTGATTTATAATATATAACTTTGCAGTGTCTCTCATGAGAATTTCGAGCAGTTTCAAATGAAAAGACGAAGTTAATATACCCTCCATGGAAAGGTGGAGGGTATAATGACGTTGATATTGCCTAATATGTGTGATATGGGAAAATGAGCTGGAAAATCGATTTGCTGGTATTGTTATTTTGTCCTTTCAATATTTTTAAAGCTTTCTCAAGTGTGTGGACCTACTGGATCTCTGTTTGGAATTAAACAACAATAGCTTCATATAATATCAATTCATTTTATTAGTAAAGAAAAAAATTAATGTACATTCGATGTTAAAAAATTAGTTCATACGTATTCGAAACATATGTGTGCTCAAAGAAAGCGGGATAAAATTAGAATATATCTCCATGCAATTGATATCGAGCTGTGATTTCCTTAGCTAGTCGGATATGTAAAATATAGATTTTTATATGGCTTCAATATTGGCTTAACTATCACACTGCATTGGCCTCGAGAGTTAACAGTCGATGTGAGGTACATATTTCTGAATAAAGTTGAATTTGGATTTGATGTGATAAAATTTGGCATGCCTTGAAGAAAATTGAGAAATTAATTAAACATTTCAATAACTGATTATGTCTTATTGTAAAATTGATACCAACGAAATTACTAAAAGTTTATTCTATTAAGGCGTCTACATGTCAAAGGCTAGATTCAGAATATACTTACACTACGACATAAAATGAGGTACTTTTATGTCATAAATATATTCGAAGGGTTATGTATGCAATCTATTTTGTTGTTAGTATTATAATTATGGCATATTATTTACAGGGTGAGATGAAAAAACTGCAACCAACTCCAGCGTCGCAGTGGCCGAAAATTAGCTCGTGAGCTGATCATATCGGATTATTCCATGCGGCTCATTGAAATTCCAAAAAATGCAAGAGCTTATACCGCAATAGAAAGAAAATAGACTCAAAAGAGCTAAAGAGTTGCTTCGCTCGGCCGAAAATGGTGAACTGTCGAATTTGGTTTTCTCCGATGAGAAAGCAATCGTTGTCCAGCAGTTTGTAAACAAACAAAATGATCTATTTTCTTGCCAAAGAGGTCTGCTGAAAATGTGTGTTGTGTCTGGAGTATTTTGGAAAGCAAGGTTGACACTAAAACATACTAAAGTGCCGATCACTTCAAGTAAGCGCTTCGCCGGGAATTGGGACAAAATACGGCAGAGCAACATTCGGGCAGCGTGTGACGGTTTTATTGGCCGTTTGAAGGGAACATTTCGTGCCAAAGGTGAACAATTCGAACAAATCTAAACTTATTCTAAAATTTGATGCTATTTCCGATATTTTTTGCATTTATTCAATAAAATTAAAAAGATATGTAAAAACTATGACGTTTGACTTTGTTGCAGCATTTTTTATCTCACCCTGCAGTTTTTTTTTTCTTTTCATCTAAAATGACGTACAACTTGCATTTTAATCGTAGCCCAATCTTACGTTATAAGTCTGCAAACATAAAGCTTACAAAAGATTTTACTTTATTTTAATTTGGAAAATCAACATTTGTTAATTTATTTACAAATTACACAGCTTGTTGGTGCCATGAAAACAATTCCTAAATATAAGTACTTAAAATTAAAAAATTTTAACAGTATTAAACGAAAAACAATGTTACGAAAAAAATATCTGTGGTAATTTTTATCACATCACTAATTTGGATTGTTTCAAATGGGTTGTCGATGTATGTATCTGAATCGTGCCTCTTTTTGTCTTTGATCCACTACATCCAGGCTGTACGTACATAGGATCCTACTTGTCATCACGATTGTTGCCATCATCAAAAATCATGTTATTTGTACTAAATTGTGTGATTCGAAAGGATATCAAGAAAATCGTATTGCATCTCTTTTATGCAATAGTTTTGTTCGTGGTTCCTTTCAATTTATTTGGATTAATAATTACCTATGATTTGCCCGGGACTGCCAGGTGGTGGCGATGGCGAATCTAATGATATTATTTCGATTTCTGTAAATAAAGGAACAATTGTTTTCAAAAATAAATTCAATGTTGAAAATTTTAAAATATGTATTAGAACTCTCAATAAAATAATTTATGATATAACTAGATATTTATATTATATTCTAATTCTCTGCTATTAAGTATTCCATGAGTATTTTTCATGTTTTTAGAACGATCGAAAATGAAAACATTCGATGACGAGTAAAATTGCGTTTCTTTAAACCAAGGCTAGGCAAAGAGTATCTCTTGGGATATCTGTGTGTTCACCAACACAATTGTAAAAAATAAATTGTTTTGAATTTTCTGTCAAATTGGTTTTGGGAGAATATTTAGTTTTATTCGAGCAGTCGATGAGGCAAGGTGCTGTCGGATATTTTTATGAATACACCGTAAGAAATATTGGATGATATAAATATGTCTTACTACTTATTTGAAACAAATATTTTCGAAATTATAAAAATTACAACTGTTATATATATATATATATATATATATATATATATATATATATATATATATATATATATATATATATATATATATATATATATATATATATATATATATATATATATATATATATATATATATATATATATATATATATATATATATATATATATATATATATATATATATATATATATGAAAATGTCAACTTACATACTTTTTAATATTAAAATTAATCATAATTGAAATAATTCTACAAATAAATCTCCGAATTGTCTGTCACAATATTAATTTTTTACCAACGAAGTTGTTTTGAAAACAGAAAATTTTAAATTGAAAATTTAAAGATAACAAATTATTTCTCACTCTGGAAAGAGAGGCAAAAAAACACTTGCAATATTTTGTTATTTCAAAACACATACAATCACAAAAAATTTTTGAGGCTCTCTGCCTTGCCCTGCTTTAAACCCATAGCTTTCTTTCAATTGCCCTTACGTGTGCCATACGTTATACCATTGAATTGAATGAGAAACAAATGCCGAAACATACAAAAATGAATGATTAAATTAAGTTATTTTGTCAAAATTCAATCAGAAAATCTATACAGGAATTGCTAAAATAATGCCAAAACGATTCGAAATGGTTTCCATCACATACCTGAGACTGCTGTCATTTCTAAGCCTCTCGTCCGATAACTGCTAAAATTATTCCAGTGACAGCTCATTATATTGTTTTCAAGCGTACAACAGCATTTTGGTGAGAATTTCCCCAAAAAAATATTCGAAATTGAATTCAAGCGTGATTGCTTTACATTTGACTGGAAAACCACAAGTAGCTATCGTTAGAGCACTTCAGCATTTAAATGTAAATAAATTTTTTGTGTCTCGTACCATCACTCGTTACAGTGATACGTCAAGGAGGTGGACGGAAGAAAACAGCAATATCAGCAGAAATTGTTCACAAAGTAAATAAGCGACTTGATCGAAACCCGCGACGCAGTGGTCGAAAATGGCTCGTGAGCTAAACACATCGCAATATTCCATTCGGCAAATATTGAAAAATGAGCTCGAAAGTCGTGAACTACCGAATTTGGTTTATTCCGATGAGAAAACATTCGTTGTCCAGCAGTTTGTAAGCAAACAAAATGATCATGTTTACTTGCCAAAGAGGTCGGCTGAAAGTGTGTACCTTCGGTTGGCCTCTAGGGCCGCCATAACAGCCGACAGATTAATCGACCGTGGCGTCAGAAGAAATGTCGAATATTATCGCGAAAATATTCTGGAGGTTGTATTAGAGTCTTGAGCACGCAAACATTTTGGCCGCAGACCTTGGAAATTCCAAAAGGACTCGGCACCATCGCACTCAGCACGCGCCATCCAAGAATGGTTACAAAATAAGTTTCCTCGCTTCATTTCCAGCGCACAATGACCACCAAAATCTTTGGATACCAATCCGTTGGGCTATTGTGTCTGGAGTATTATGTCACTAAAAACTACCAAAGTGTCGATCACCTCAAGCAAGCGTTTCGCCGGGAATGAGCCATAATACCGCAGAGCAACATTCAGGCAGCGTGTGACGGTTTCATTCGCCATGGGAAGGCCATAATTCGTGCCAAAGGTGACCAATTCGAACAAATCTAAACTTATTCTAATATTTGATGCTATTTCCCCCATTTTTTGCTTTCATTCAATAAAAATTAAAAAAAATTTAAAAATGTTGGCTTTTGGCTTTGTTGCAGTTCTTTTATCTCGCCCTGTAGATGAATAACTTCTTGAAGATCAGCCTTTCTAGATCGTAATTAAGCAGAAGTTCTTCTTTGTCCTAGACACAGTATCGTTCGCAAGGTCTTCCATACAAAAACCTTCTGTGGGAAACCGTCTGGAATAGAAGACTTATGGTGTAGGATGATCAATTTTGGCTTATACTTCAAACTAGGGCAAACGGAACACATTTTCTTCTTTCATAAAAAGGCCAGTCTACGACTTATGCCTGAAATCAATTTCTGACTCCCTTCCTGGTTCAAAGAATAGGCCTATTTTAAACTATGTCACCTTCAATTCATTTTTTCATTGACCTAAAAGGCCAATCTATCACTCATGCCTCCAGCGATCGAAATAAAAGCGAAACGATTAACGTACCCCTCTCACAAAGACACAAACCATTAAATTTTTTTCAATCTTTTTGTGCTAAAAACAAAACCACAAATATTTCAATGCCAGAAGTACACAAACAATACGATTGCCTGCCTAATGTACTTCGGCTGTGAGTTGCCGAGCTGTACCGTTTGCGAACGAATCGCCGGAAACGTTTGCAAACGTTTGCTGTGTGAAATGATGACTGGTACATAAAGAGTTTTTATTCTTATTTTAATTTTTGAACTTTTTTACATTGTGTGATGACCAATAAATGAATAAAAAGAATACTTTGAACTTTTAATTAGTTTTTACATTATTTGTATTGAGTTCATATACCGGGAAACGTTTGCAATGGGTATTGTACTGTTTGGTTTCCAATGTTGCGTCATCCAGCAGAGTACATTTCAGTTTTGTTTTTGTTTCCACTCATCTACACAAACAGTACAACATAAGAAACCAGTGATGTTATCTTAATATCGGGTTCGTTTCGTACTTCGAGAAAATACAGAACGAAACGATTACAAACGTTTCCAATAGTTTATTTTCGTTTGCTGCATGCCACAAATAAATCCTCGTATGTTTTCACCCCCTTCTATAGAAATACTTTCTACTGACATCTCGGATAGTCTACAGAGGCTTTCTATAGAAAGACTTTCTAATGAGATCTCGAAGAGTTTACAGAGGCCCTCTATAGAAAGACTTTCTAATGAAATCTCGAATAGTTTTTATTGGTTTCCACTAAACCGATGACTTATGTGGTCTGAATACCTACCTAACAGCCTTCTTCTACGATCGGTCTTTAATAGGGTTTCCGCCTTTAAAACGCAAATGACTTTCTAAATATCTTTCAAAGCCGTCTTTTGGTGGAGGGTAGGAACATCTTAAGGTGAGGTTCATTGAACAAATGTGTACCCCATTATATTATTGTGGATTTCAATGTCGATTTTCTCGTGACATAGGATTTTATACGCTTCTTTTGTAAAAGTATTCAAATCGAAAAGTATTCAAACGTAAAAGTGATAGCATTTAATGTAAAGTGTTGTAAGAAAGAAAAGAAACCATTTCATTAGCTTAGATTTTAATATCTATAGGTATTTACTTATTAGACCTAGAACTTGCCTGGCTAATTCTCTCGTTTGCCTGCACAAAACAAAATAAATGAAACAACAATTTTTAGGTGATTTTTTTTGTTTTTTGGTTTTACTTTACAATGTATTGTTAATGTATTTTGTTTATTTCATAACTTTGTTTTTCCATTTCAGCTTAAGTGTATGTAGCACTATTTTATACACAAAATTATAAAAAGAACATGTTTTTTGTTACTAATTTTATTGGGATTAGAGTTAAAAAAAAAGTGTGTCATCTATTCATGATTTGAAAGTCTATAACTAAGAACAATAAAATAGATTTCATGTTTTTTTATTTTGATTTATTTACATTTATTAGTTATTCTTATACTGTAGCAGTATGCTTATTTTTATTCATTGTGATATATATTCTTTGCTTTTAAATATATATTTTTTAATAATAGCTTTTTTCAGTTTTGTTTTCTTTTTTTATTTTGTTTATTTTATTTTCTTATGGTAGTTGTTGTTGTGTATAGGATTTGTTTGCTATTAGGCTTCAGGTTTTTTTTTCTAAAACATTTTTTTAAGTAATGTGGCAGAGTGGTTTGCTTACCTAAATGTTTGTTAAGAAAAATAAAAAAACAAACAGAAAAACTAAAAATTATACGAAAAATATGTAAAAAAAATAAACAAAAAATCATTGCAATAAATAAAATTTATATTTTATTTAGTTTACATAGGCATATCAAAAAAGTAAGATAATGAAATGATTTCTTTACTTTGTGTTGAATATTTATCTTTACACCAAGTAAATACACCAAATTTGACGGAAATAAAGGGAATATGTCATCCAGCCATCACTTACATACAATTCAAACTCTACACTTCACTGGAAGTGTGTAGCAATCCATTTCTTATTTCTAGATATATGCAGTAGTTTAACTATTTTAGCCAAACAGACATAAACACCAATTTTTTATGATGTCAGGACATCCTCCACTCAATATCGCAGCAGAATATACAATGCGACAGATTCTTTTTATAAAAAGGAACCCTTTTCAAAATTATTAGATGCAAATACAAAAGCATTTCAGGATTGATACTTTTGAACTTATTTAAATACAAATTTTGAATGCATAATGTTATCGAGTGGATGTCGATTTTGAGGGATTGTTGTTAATTTATAAGGTTTAGAGGTGAAATGAAGTATTTAAATAATAAAATTCTAATTAAAATATATATATTAGAAAGCATGTGGAACATTTGACAAAAATTTAAGTTTTGCATTGGATTATTTTAACTCACAACAACCCATTCCTTGGCATGTGAAGCATAATACAAAAGACAAGTTAAATAGGTCGGGGGAAAATTGTATGACTTGTTACTCTATTGTCCATTGTTTTAGTGACATACGATGATCGTAATAACAAATTACCTTCAGTTTCTAAACAGATTCATAGCCTTAAAATAAGTCTACACATTTTGAGATAAAATCAGGACAATCTCGAATAATGTTTTGGTACCCTTTTTCTAATGTATCAATTCTTTTTAGTTGGAGTCCATAGAAAACAAAAAACATGATTCTTTTAGGTTATTTTATAATAAAGTAATGTTCAATTTTAAATGATGGTAGTTTTTTGCCTTGGATTTTTATAATTTTTCGAGTTTGTCAGGAAATTATAAAGTTCTTTAAAAATAGGTTTTTTCTTTTCTCATGAACCGCACAAAACAGAATTGGTACTTCAGAACCTTTGAATAATTTTTGTTTTTAATGTTCTGTATAATAGAGTAGTGTAGCTATTAGCTGTAATATAGGCTATTAGCTTTTCAGTACCCCACCGATTTTAAACAGCTTAGCAGATATTTTTATATGAATAAAAAAATTACCATTCTTATTATAATTTAAGCATTATCATAAATATTCTGGTTTAGAAATGGAGACACATATTTCAAGTGTGTCAAGAAAAGAAATAGCCAAGTTCTTTGAAAAATATTGGCATATGTCTGGCCTTTCGATCATATATGTAGATCTCTGCCAACTCTCAGATCCTAAAATATAAACTATTTAAACTAATTGATTGTATAACTAACTAAATATGTAAAAGAAAAAACTTTAATAAATATTTATCTTATATTAAAACATATAAATAATGTATAACTCCACAGTAGTCTTTAGTTGTGTTAAATGCATTTACATTTGTTTACACTGAAACAAAAAAATATATATAAAAGTTAATTAATTTTATGGTTAATAAAATTCATTGAAAATATTGTTTTAGTTGAGGGAAATAGAAGTAAGAATTTTTAAAGTGAAATTTTATTGGAAACAAGGCTCTAAACATCTTGTAAAGGGAATTAAAAGTTATGACCTCCTCAAATGTCATTTTTGTAAAGTAAAAGCCAAAATTACTATCGTCCCGACTGTAGAAGTGTTGAAAAGCATTAAATTCACACTGCTGTCCATTTTAATAAACGCTGAACTGCACTGTGTTTTTTAATAGTTTTCAAAAATATTCCTTCCCCTAACGTAATTATATAGCAATGTGGAAATGTAATAGAATAGTGTTTACAACTATTCGCAGACTATGCGTCAACGCAATCCTTAGACGAAAATATCATCTGGGGAAATGTTTAATCAATCACTCGCCTCATTACAAACAATGTAAAATCCCAAAATAATTTTGAGTTTTCAATATAAAACACCAAATTAAAATAAAAAGTTAGTGAAGCTCTACTTTTTCGTTGATAATAGGGCTAATTAGTAGAAAATACAAATGGCAAGAAAGAAAAATAATACACATTTTTTTTACAAAAAAAAAAAGTAAAAAAGCTTTAAGTCCGGCCGGGCCCATGTAGAACGAATTTGGTAATTTTCAAAAAAAAAAAAAAAAAAAAAAATAATAATAAAAAAATATATATTTTTAATTTTGTTAAAATCTTAATATTGCCGAATGTAGCCGTTATATTAGGGTTTATACGACGACGTGGACATGCATAGGGAACTTTTCCCACTTAAAAAAAAATCGGTGAATAAAGTAGCTAAAAACAAAAAACGAATATAGGGAGGTACCGTTATGTTCACAGACAATTTTCTGTCTTAGGCTGTAGTATCCATTACGAACTTTAAATAACAAATTTGAAACATTTCCAGTGAATAATGTTATATGGGGGCTATAACAAAACGTGGACCTACATTACCCATTAAATACCAAAAGTCCTGCAGACATAATATATAATTGAGTAAAATTTTATCAACCTACTTCATTTCGTTCGGAAGTCAAACAGTAACAATAAATTCCATGAAAACTACTTTTCTATTTTATTATTATTTCTTACGAAAACAATAGAAACAAGTAAGCAAAGGCTACAGTCGAGCGGGGCCGACCGTTGAATACCCTACAACACTATAATGAACGATACAGTTTATATAGGCGAGATACTCGTAAGAATTCCACAAGATATTGTGACAAATAATAAAAGAAAACCATAAAGGTTCGTTCTCTAATTTTCGAATAATAGCAACTTTAACTAATTTGCTCATTTCCAATTTATTGGAAGATGTTGCACGTAAATTGTCTTCCTAGATCTGGAACCAATATTTTCCAAAGACCTATAATCTCTCAGAAGTGGCAAAAGATTAGCATTTATTATTGGTTTTTGACTGAAACGCATCTATATGAGATACAGACATTTGACTATATTCTGCAACGAAATCAGCGTTAACGAAATAGTCAGAAGTGCGTCTTTCCTGTATTTGCGAATTCTCCAAAAAGTCACTGGAATGGAGATTTTCGTATTTTGTCTACAAAAGTTGGCAAACTCCTTTACACATTGAATATTTTTGGATGGCCATCCAAAACTGCTTGGCTTTTGCAATGTCCGGTAACCCCCGTTCAAATGTGCCGAAGGATCGGACGATAATTACGAACTGCTGACAATTTTGCAGTTTTTTGTCCATTTCAACCCCTACATATATGGCGACCATCTCTAAAAATAGTAGGCTTCTATTCTGACCCTCATCTTATCCCCATGCAAAATTTCGTGAGGATCGGGCCATAAATGCGATCTGTATATGATATCCTGATACCCTAACTACTTAATTTTGTTAGCTGTAGAAATATTACCAAATTTTTAATTCAAAATGAAAATATGCCAAAAATATGACAAAATTGAAAAAATATGAGAAAATATTACAAAATGAATATTTTCATCTTTAGAGAGATATTTTTATGCGATTTTTTAGGCGTTTTTTTCTTTTCTGCCAAGAGGCCATTCTGAATTAATGAGAACTGTCGAAATTAGTTCAGCCGTTCTCGACATAAAATAGATCTTTCAAGCATATCTTCTTTGATAGACATATATATCGCACATATTTTGCTATATAATCGATTTGTTGGATCTTAACATCAATGTAAAGATCAGAAGTAACCTTGTCATGGCTTTGAGATTTCGCCGGGATTTAAAATATTCGCGGTTTAATGAAAAATTTTGAATTTTTTCAACAAAAAAATATGGTCTATTTTAGCCGCTAAATATTATCCGATGACCACCCAAATTCTTCCTCGCCCTAAACTCTAGCTACATGCGAAATTCCGCGTCGATTGGTCTATAATTGCGACCTGTATAGCTACTGCAAAATCCGACATTTTTTCAGTATTTGGTCAATTTCAACCCCTAAACATCCCAACACATAGTGTTGTAGGGTATAAAAACAAAGGTCATATTCGGCTTAATTACGGTTGTCATTGCATTGTCTGAGTCCAAATTTTAATAAAAATATGTACTTAATGTGTTCTGTGTTTAGATTTAGATTTAATACCTTTCCAAAATGCTACAATTTCCTAATGCTAACACATTTTCTGAGTCCAGAGATATTCTCTTCTGGGTATGTTCAACCGGTAACGCGAACTAATTTAACAGACATGTGACCACTTGTTGGATGCCTATTTTCATAAGTTTTCAAAAGATCCTACATAGGGATACGGATCTTGAACCCGGACTTTCGAGTTCCGGGGGTTCCGGGTCGGTCCCCCAAGTAAAAAGAAGTTTTCCGATATCATGGTAAAAATAACGACCTCTGGAAGAAATGTCAAAAAAAATCGAAGAATTTTTACTAAACTAGCGTTGTTTCAATTGGCCACATCATTGAGGTTTTTAGCGCTAGGATCTTAGTAGACCAGTTTCGCAAATGACTTCAATATTTCCAAATTGTTTTGCTGTTGTTATTTTAATGGTAAAATGGTTCAAATATCAACGTCGACTAACAAATGCAAGGTCGTCTCAATTTTTTACGGCGACAGATATTCTCTCAAAACGACATCACGTCGACTGTTGTATCGACAATCGCAAAATGGTTCAAATATCAACGTCGACTAACAAATGCAATGTCGTCTCAATTTTTTATCGACAAAAAACGACAACGCTAATACCGTTGTTGTCGCCTCGATTTCATTTTGCGACGACCACAACCGTAATGGGGCCGATTATTGATTTGTTCTTTTTCTTAAGACAATTTCCGCTAAGTTTCCTTAAAATATTTCTAAAAGTACGAATAAAACCAAAAAGATAAAAGTATTATGATGGGACAAGACAGAGCCAAATGTCATGAGCTCTTATTCTACATATTGTCGCCACAAACCATTTACTCAGAACGCATTTTGTCAAGACTTGATAAAACATTTACTTCTGTTGGAAAAATCAAATAATTAAACTAACAAAAATTTCCTGCACAATACCACAAAATGTTTAGAGTCTGTTTCTGTACGGCGACACAAAGTAAAAACATATTTGCATTAATGTTTTTCTTCCAAATCAACACAAAGAAACAGGCCCAAACCGAGCTAAACGGCATTCGATAAAATTTTAAACAAATTATTACAAATAAATTGAGTATATCGACAAACTTTACATTAAGAAAACAATTGGATACAAAATTTCTAATTTGTGGCAATTCTACTTATCCCCTACTTATAAGCTAATATGCAAATCTTCACACAAATATCCATACCAAAATACTAAAACTTGATATAGTTGAAAATTTGTAGAATTTACATATCCGCTGCTGTGTTATTATTTGTATTATTTGCAATTTGCGTTGATGATGTCACAACACCGCCGACATGGGCTAAACGTTGAGCTGCTGATGGTGATGCACCGGAAGTTGCCACTGTTCCAGAAGATGTTTTCATTGTTGAATTATTTTGACGTAAATCCATAAGAATTTGATCCGGCATCAGATCGCCACCTTCTTAAGAATTTCATAACAAGAAAAAACATTTTTTTTTTAATTCAACAAAAAGTGGAAAAATACAGATAAGGTGGCAAAAATTCCGGGGTTGGCAATGAAAACGGAGAAAAGAAACCAAGAAATAGAAATGATTCGTTGCTTTTTTTTCGATATTTAAAAGAGTTATATAAAAATCATTTATTATAAGTATATAGTTAGATATCAGTGACTGATTTACAATAATACAAAAAAAAATTACCTAAACATATTGATATTACATTAATAAATATAAGAAAAAAAAGGTTGGGATACAAGACAAAAAATGGAAATAACATATTTTCTTCAATTAAAACAAAAAATAAAAAAACAATGCTGTTACATATATATGCTAGTACTTTTGAATCAATTAAAAACAAAATACAACAACAATATGAAAACAAAACCTATGGATTTTTTTCCAGCGAAAAACAAAAAAGAAAACATTGGACTTAAGTCTTCTTAGTAACACGACTAATGGTAATTTCATTAATTTGTATATTGCCATTTAAATTTTTGGAATTCGGGCAATTATTATTATTGTTGTTGCGTTTATTAAGGATACTACTAAAATTAGTTTTGATTGTTTGGCATTTGATCTCATTGTCTATCCGTTTCAATATATCACCTATACGAACAACATCATCGCCAATTTCTGTATGTCCTCTATTATTCTGGCTAGAACGTATTACAGGTAAGTGGTGGTTGGTAGCGCTAGATACCGAACGAATGCGGGAAACTAAATGAAAAGAAAATAAACTATTTACATATGTAAAATATTCACAATGGATTGGTAAATAACAAAAAAAAGGACATTTTAACGAATGAGAAACGGTGAGCAGGAGCTGGAGTAGGATGGCGAAATATTGTCATTGCCATCATTATGATGATTTTGCTTAAGGGCGGGGGGAACTGTCTAAATCGTATGTCGCCAAAAAAAATTG